CACTGTTTTCTGCGAGTGTCAGACTTGGAAGCATTTTTGTTTTGTTTTGATTTTTTAATCAAAGACGAGGGAGGAGCGGAGCCTTGACGCGGCAGGGGCTCTCCCCAGAGGCTGCTGACTCCTGGTCCTGGCTGGGATGAACCTCCGACTGGTGAGCCAGTTGCCAGAGGCCACTTAGCCTACCAGACTCGGAGCTCCTGGAAAGGAAGAGGAGGCCGGCGCCGTGGCTCGCTAGGCTAATCCTCTGCCTGCGGCGCCAGCACCCCGGGTTCTAGTCCCGGTTGGGGCGCCGGTTCTGTCCAGGTTGCTCCTCTTCCAGGCCAGCTCTCTGCTGTGGCCAGGGAGTGCAGTGGAGGATGGCCCAGGTGCTTGGGCCCTGCACCCGCATGGGAGACCAGGAGAAGCACCTGGTTCCTGGCTTTGGATCGGCGCAGCGCCAGCCGTGGCAGCCATTTTGGGGGTGAACCAACGGAAGGAAGACCTTTCTCTTACTCTCTGTCTCGCTGTCTAACTCTGCCTGTCAAATAAAAAAGAAGAAATAAAGAGGGGCCGGCGCTTGGCGTAGCGGGTAAAGCCGCTGCCTGCAGTGCTAGCATCCCATATGGGCTGGTTCAAGTCCCAGCTGCTCCACTTCTGATCCAGCTCTCTGCTATGGCCTGGGAAAGCAGTAGAAGACTGCCCAAGTGGGAGACCTGGAAGGAGCTCCTGGCTCCTGGCTTTGGCTCAGGAGTGAACCAGTCAATGGAAGACTTCTTTCTCTGCTTCTGCCGCTCTGTAACTCTGCCTTTCAAATAAGTAAATTTTCTTTAAAAGAAAAAAGAGAAGAAATGAAGATGAGCACCAGCGTGGAGTCCTGAAACAATGCTGTGTTCAGAACACACAGAACGGCTGGCACCGCGGCTCATGAGGCTAATCCTCCGCCTTGCAGTGCCGGCACACCGGGTTCTAGTCCCGGTCGGGGCGCCGGATTCCGTCCCGGTTGCCCCTCTTCCAGGCCAGCTCTCTGCTGTGGCCCGGGAGTGCAGTGGAGGATGGCCCAAGTGCTTGGGCCCTGCACCCCATGGGAGACCAGGAGAAGTACCTGGCTCCTGGCTTCGGATTGGCACGCCAGCCGCGGCGGCCATTGGAGGGTGAACCAACGGCAAAAGGAAGACCTTTCTGTCTCTCTCTCTCACTGTCCACTCTGCCTGTCAAAAAAAAAAAAAAAAAAAATACACACAAGGCAGCCGGCTTCAGAGCAGGTGAGAAAGCCCCGCCCCCTGCACGTGAAATGCAGACCGCAGCCAGGTGACCCTGCTTCTCTGATCGGATGGACAGAGAGGAAAACAGGGCCCACCACGCCCCCGGGGGCCGCTGCTGGCGGGAGTGCAGTGTCCTGGGGCCTCTTTGGCGGTCGGGTGGACACATGTGTCAGCGTTTTGTGTAACGTTTGACCTGGAGTGCAGGATGTGCGACAAAGACATTCCCGGAATTGCCACCTGATTCGCAGCAGCAAGAGACAGCTGTTACGTGATCCTGATGTCCTGCGTGATCCCCTGCAGGAGGTCAGCTCCGGGGGCCGGGGCTGCGTGGACCCGTTTTCAGAAGGCTGAATATCGTTACAGCCACGTGCACACATCTCCCACTTCCGGGACCTTGGAAAACCTCTCCCCGCGGACGGAGACCCTCCTGATGGTTGTAGATCTCGCCTCCCTTTCGGACACCTGCCCCAAACGCGCGCATCTGGTCCATTTCTCCTGTTCCCCAACTGCTATCCAAAGCCGAACCCGCTTTCCCGCGCCCAGCAGCCCGCGACGGATCCCGGGAGGCGTCTCAACCAGCAGAGGGCGGCCGAGGAGCGCGCCCCGGGGGTGGGGGGCGGCGGACGTGGCCGGACGCCTCGGGGAAGGGCAGGGCCCGGCCGGCCCGCGGCCGAAGAGGTCGCCCATTGCGGGAAGCGCTGACGTCACAGCATCAGCAGAATCCCTTCGCCTTCTCGCCTTCTCGCCGCCCGGGGCCACAGCCGGTGCGCAGCCCGAGGCTACTCCGTGGTCTCCACCGCCCGCTCTGGCAGGCAGGAAGGCGAGGGGCAGCCAGGCGGGGCGCGAGGGGCAACTCAGCCAGACCAGGTCCCGCGCGGACAGAGGTCTGCTGCCTGGCGCTGTGCCTGACCGGACCCGGGGTGCCCCTTTACCGATGGGGGCATCTCCCGGAGGTGAGCACCGCCCACTTTTCAGCCGTCGGGGAAACAGGCCGGGGGAAGCCAGGTCGTTCGCCCAGGCTGACCCCGTGGGGAGGAGGTGGGGCTGGGAGAGGCCGCAGTGAGCCCTGCTGCTGCTCTGCGGATACCCCGGGTGGGGCCGGCGCCTCGCCCTGCCAGGGACACCTCGTGGAGCACCTGTTCCCGCCCCGCATCGCTACTCCCTGTCTGTCCAGCTTCCTGCTCGTGCGCCTGCCCACGTGCTTGGGTTCCGGCCAGCACCTGGAGAGTCAGGTGGAGTTCCCAGCCCCTGACTGTGGAGTGAACCAGAGGATGGAAGATTTCACTCTCTGTCACTCTGCTTTTTCAAATAAATAAACAAATATTTTTAAAGAGAGAGAACAGGATGATGGGCTATACCGTAGGTGCTGGGGGTGGGGTGGGTCCTACTATGGCTACAGTTATCAAGACACGGTTTTTTTTTTAAAATTTTTATTTATTTGACAGAGTTAGCCAGTGAGAGAGACAGAGAGAAAGGTCTTCCTTCCATTGGTTCACCCTGCAAATGGCCGCTATGGCTGGAGCTGCGCCGATCCGAAGCCAGGAGCCAGGTGCTTCCTCCTGGTCTCCCATGTGGGTGCAGGGTCCAAGCACTTGGGCCATCCTCCACCGCCCTCCCGGGCCACAGCAGAGAGCTGGAGTGAAAGAGGAGCAACCGGGACTAGAACCCGGGCCCATATTGGATGCCGGCGCTGCAGGCGGAGGATTAGCCTAGTGAGCCATGGGCGCCGGAAGGGCGTGTGTTAAGTATACCATTCATACCAGGTGGGTTCAGATCTCACTTCAGGAAACAGAATATTCCCAGAATTCCAGGTAATGCCTTACCCTGTCCCCCCAGCCAAACAGTATTCGCAATTTTACATTAAACACCTCCTTGCTCTTTCCACTGTTACCAGCTCCACACAGCCAGGTCTGCGTCCCTGGGAGAGGCTGTCAGCCGGCTTTGAGCCTCGTGTAATTCTAATTACCGAATGCAGCTGGGTGCAGCTGTTTCTGCCCAGCCCCGTGTGTTCTGAGGTTCATCACTGCTGCTGTCCGTGCGCACTGCTGCATCGTGTTCCGAGGCAGAGCTACACCGCGGCGTGTTACTGCAGGACGCTGCTGGCAAGCGTTTGGGTGGTACCGTGTCGTTTCGCTGTCAGGAACGGGGTGCCGTGAATATTCTCTTGTTCCTCGGGGTGGTGGTTCTGAGGTTGCCTGCTCATTAGAATACCAGGGGAGGGAGCTTTTCAAGCCGCTTACCCCAGAGGCCCCCACGCAGACATCATCTGGGTGTGCTTGGGAGGGACCGAATTCCCCAGGGAAAGTTAGGGCTGAGCTTCTGGGATGCCACTGGTCGGGGAACAGGGCTGAGTGGGATCACCTGCGGGGGACTGAGGCCAGGCGCTCCCCCATGGCTGTGCCCCCCCCCCCCCCCCCCCCGGCCAGTCCCCACATCCTCACCCACCAGGGAGCGAACTTTACTTTTTGTCCTTCTGTTGGGCGTGAAATGGAATCGCGCCGTGGTCTCATTTGCATTTATCTCATCAGTACGGAGGCGGGGCGGCTGGTAAAACTGCAGCCCGCGGGCACAGAGAAGGCGAAGCGGGAGAGATTCAGGCAGGAGAGGGTGGGTGGCAGGTGCCTGGGTCCTGCGGCGGGCGGAAGAGGGCTGGTGTGCTGCAGGAACAGGCCAGGCTGGGGGAAGGGAGAGTTGTGGAAAGCCGGCAGGGGCCGGCCTGGCGGGCTGAGCCCTCTCGGCGAGGCCTCCGGCTTTGACTCTGAGGCAGGACCGCGGGCGAGCTTTGAGCAGAGGCCCAGCAGGTCTGACTGCCACCTCTGGCAGTCCCGGTACCACAGGTGGAACCGAGCTCACACGCCGCTTGTGGGATGATGCACACCTCGCGGGGCTGTCAAGCCTTGCAGGGGGGCTGGGGGGCAGGGCCAGCTGTCTTCGCCCCCCCCCCCGACCCGCTCCCCACCCCCGAGACAGCTGGCCCCGGTCGGGGGCGCCCCTGCCCGGCCCTGCTCCAGTGCTGGTCGCTCCCCAGCGCCCCCGAGGCAAAGTCCAGGCTCCTCCGAGGCCTCCCCTGGAGTCCCGCGCCCCACCCCCACCCGGGGGCCTTTCCTCCTCGATGTTTCCTCACTTCCTCGGGAAGTCGCCCCTGACCCCCTGTCAGGTGACCCGCCCCCCGGACGGTCCCCGCGTGCCGCCTCTTCAAAGCACACCTGCCTGGGCAGTATAATCATGTTTACCCCGCCTGCCTCCCCCGCCCGGCGGGAGCTGCCCTCGCTAGAGACCCCGAGCGACCACGTGCCGGGTGCGGGCACGGACGCGCGCGGCCAGGTCGCTGGCACGTCGGGTGGCCAGGCGCCACGCGAGGGTGTCCGCCCCCCGTCCCCGCCCGGCGCTGTGTACGGTCTCCCGCCGACTCCGGCGGAGGAGGCTTCCGGCCCCCCGGCGAACCCGCGGCCCCGGGCGGGTCTCGGGAGGTCAGGTGCCGGGACCGGCGGCGCGCGGCGCCAGGGGGCGCTGAGCGGGCTGGGGCGCCGCGTCCCGCCCGAGTTCCGCCGCGCGGGGGTTCCCCCCAACCCCGGGCGCCCGCCCCCCACGAGCTCTCGGCGCGATCCCAGCTGCGGGCGCCGGAGCGCCCCGGCCGGGCCCCCGCCCCGGCCCTCAGCGCCACGCGGCGCGAGCCCCGCCAGTCCCCGGCGCACCTGCTTGGGGCGTGGCCTCCGGCCGGGGCGCGCCTCCGATTGGCGCGGGGGTGACAAAGGGGGCGTGGCGCCCGCGGCCCCGCCCGCCGGCGCCGGGGTAGTTAAGGCGTCGGCGGCGGTCCGCACTCACAGCGCCGCGGCACGGCCTGGCGAGTGGAGCTTTCTGTGGCCGCTGCGCGACCCCGCCTCCCGCTGCCTCGACCACCATGCCGCGCTCTTTCCTGGTCAGGAAGCCCTCCGTGCCTCGCAGGAAGCCCAACTACAGCGAGCTGCAAGATTCGTGTCTGGGTGAGCGGCGGCGCGGGCCCCGGGCGAGGACGGTGTGGGGGCCCCGGCGCCGAAGTGGAGTCGAGGGAGTTGTGTGGTGAAATGGGAGGAGGGGGCCCGGAGACTGGGGCAGGGGCGGTCCCGAGGCCCGGAGCTTGGCTGTCGGCAGACGGGGCTGAGGAGGGGTCGGGGCGGAGGGGACGCTCTGGCCGGCGCGGGGCGGAGAGGCGCCGCGGGTGTGGACGTGCGAGGGGGCGGCTTGGCCGGGATTGTGGAGTTGGGAGTCCCGGGGATTGCGGGGCAGGGTGCAGCCGTGGGGTGACTGGGGTCCCGCCCCAGGCCGGGTGGGAGCCCACTGAGCCGAGGCTGGGGAGCAGGGCGGGGGGCGGGGAGGGCGGGAGCCGGGCCTGTGCGGTTCTTTGTGCTCACCCAGTGAGCCCTGAGCCCAGCCCCCCCCCCCCCCCCCCGCGACCCCGGGCTCCCCGTGGGCTGACGATTGTTGACTGACTGACCGACTGCCCTCTGCCTTCTCTCTCCCCAGAACTGGCCTTCCAGCAGCCCTACGACCAGGCCCACCTGCTAGCAGCCATCCCGCCGCCCGAGGTGCTCAACCCCACGGCCTCCCTGCCCACGCTCATCTGGGACTCTCTCCTGGCGCCCCAAGGCCAGCCCGTGGGCTGGGCCTCCCTCCGGCTGCAGGAGAGCCCCAGGGTGGGCGAGCTGACCTCCCTGTCGGACGAGGACAGCGGGAAGGGCTCCCAGCCGCCCAGCCCACCCTCGCCGGCCCCCTCCTCCTTCTCCTCCACCTCCCTCTCGTCCCTGGAGGCCGAGGCCTACGCGGCCTTCCCGGGCTTGGGCCAACTGCCCCAGCAGCTGGCGCAGCTCCCGGGGGCCAAGGACCCCCAGGCCCGCAAGGCCTTCCATTGCAAGTACTGCAGCAAGGAGTACGTCAGCCTGGGCGCCCTGAAGATGCACCTCCGCAGCCACACCCTGCCCTGCGTGTGCCCGACCTGCGGCAAGGCCTTCTCCCGGCCCTGGCTGCTGCAGGGCCACGTGCGCACGCACACCGGTGAGTACCCGGCCCGGTCCAGGCCAGGGGCCTGGCTGCCTGGCTCAGCAGAGGGGCAGGGAGACCAAGCGGACGCGGGAGAGCGGCGAGCCCAGGTGTGAGGGAGCCGCCCTGCCCCACCCTGGTCCGACAGGAAGTTGTCAGACCCCCGCCCGGCCCGGCCCTGAATCCTGCTGGGGGCTGGGGCTGCCGCGTCCCACTGTGGGCCTCGGTTTCCTCACCTGTAAGCCGAGCGTGAGAGCGCGTGGCGTGGGGCTCCGGTGTAGCTCAGGGGGAGGGATGCATCCGGCCGGGAAGCGCAGGGTAGCTCGCGCGGGAGCTGGTACGTGTGCTGCCTCTGCGCTGTGTGACCTTGGGCAGGCGACTCGGCCTCTCTGAGCCTGAGAGGATTATGGAGGGTGGCTGTGAGTGTGTTGTAAGCCCATCAAGATACCCCTGCCGCCTCCCCTCCCCCACCCAAGGCCATCACGCAGGGCAGAGACCCCGGTGCGTCTATCTGTCCGGGTGTTGCCGAATGTGTAGGAGGTTTTCTGGGCGCGGGCCAAGGCAGCGCCTCGCCTGCAGAGCGGCAGGGGCTGCTGTGTTGGGGCCTGATGGTTGCAGGATGGCTGTTGAGGAGAAGGGTCAAGGGTCATGACCCGTGGCCTTGGGGTCAAGCTGGCCTGGTTGGAGGCTGTCCTTTCCTGGCCTGGGAGGCCTGGCATCTGGCCGGTCCTCATCACCGTCACTCCGCTGTGGGGCGACGCGGTCCCTTTCTTCGCGCACAGATAGCCCTGGGCTTAGCTTGGCCAGCGCCCGTGGCCTGGCCTCCCTCCTGGGTGCCCGCCCAGCTGATGGGGGCTCTACTTGGGGGGATTGAGACCCTCTGGGTGCTCTCCTGGGGCCCGGCCTCTCTCCCCTCCCAAGTATTTTAATGTAAAGGCACGGCTCAGACACAAAACCCCGTTGAAATGCACCGGTTGACTCCCATTGTGTGCTTGATGGTGGGCCCAGTGGGTGGGGGCTGGGAGGGGCAGAGCAGGTGCACGGGGCAGCGGTGCCCAGCACCTGTTCCGGGCTGCAGCTGCTGGCCCTTTAATCCGGGGGTATCGCATGTACAGTGCCCCCCTTGGCGGCCTTTGTCCCCGCCGGCCTGGTGCCGATTTCACACTTGCCAGGAGCGACATAAAGGCGTCTGGGGGGCGGGGGAGCCGTGAGGGGTGGGGGTCTGCGCACGGACCCCCCCCCATCCTACAAGGTCCCCTTCCTCGTCTGCTGAGGTTTCTGTCGGATCACTGACCTGCTGGGCGTGGGGGCAGCTCTGCCCCCTTGCGGATCCCTGTGCTCGGCCCCGAGGGCGCGGGACCTGGGCCACCTGCCCTCGGGCCCAGTGTGCAGGAAGGTGTAGCGGCCAGGCCGGTGGCCCGGTACCCCAGCCGCCCGGCACTCCTGCACGGAGCCCTGGGCGCCTGGGGTGATGGAATCAAGTCCCTGGATTAGGCTCTTGGATTCCTGTCCCGGGATTTAGTCGGTGTGCTGCCAGCGATGTGTCTGCTGCTCCCCCACTAAGTACTTGTTACTTATTTATTTTGCTTCTTCATTTACAGAGTATGTGTGTATATATATATTCTTAAATTTATTTGAGAGACTTGTTTATTCACTTCAAAGGCAAAGTTACTTAGAGAGCGAGCGAGAGATCTTCCAACCCCTGGGTCACTCCCCAGATGACCAGAACAGCCAGGGCTGGGCCGGGCCAGAGCCAGGAGCCCAGAATTCCATCCGGGTCTCCCACAGGTGCAGGAAGGTGCAAGGGTCCAAGGCGCTGGGCCGTCTTCCGCTGCTGAAGCAGCCGGGACCTGAACTGGCTCCGCTATGAGATGCCGGCCTTGCAGGTGGTGGCTGAACCCACGGCGCCACAATGCCGATGGCGTTTGGAAAGGCGGAGTGACAAGAGGCAGCCCATCCACTGATCAAGTGCCCACAGTAGTCAGGGCTGGGCCAGGCTGAATTCAGGAGCCTGGAGCCCCCGCTGGGCCTCCCAAGTGGGTGACAGGGTCCCAAATACTTGCCATTGTCTGCTGCCCCCAGGACGCAGGAGCCGGGAGCTGATGGAGCTGGAGCCAGCGCTCCGGGAGGGATGAGGGCTCCGCAAGCCACGGCTCCCTCCGCCGGCCGAACCTCAGCACCGCGCCTACCTTGCTTTCTGCCGAGGGGCGCCCGTTCCCAAGCACAGCACCTGTTAGCCCCACGTGCACGGAAGAGCTCGCTGGCTGTCTAATAAGTGAGAAATGCGACCTTGACGTGAACAAGGCTACGCCCCCCAGAAACACCGACAGCCTTTCAGTGTCTCTGGGACTGTGTGTTCTTGTTTGGGGTAGGCGTGTGAAAGAGTGCTTGGAGAATGAGGGTCGGGTCCTCTCTAAGACTTACTTACTTGGCAAGCACTTACTGAGCACTTGCTGTATACTCAGCCCCACGTCCCAGTCCTAACCCAGCCTTGGCCAGGCAGGGGTGGGTCAGGGCTGCAGAATCTTGGGAGTCCAGGCCCTGGACTAGGCTGACTGGGGTCAGAGCGGGAGACCTGGGGTTACTGTGGTGCAGTAGGTGCTGGGAGGGAGGCGGGTGGCCGCAGGGCCAGAGGAGAGGCCTCGCCCGCCTGGGGCGGGGTGGGCAGCCCCTTAACAGGCTGTTAAGACAAAGTGAACCCGAGTGACCTCTGGACGGATGGCTCCCGCGGTTAAAGTCAGGGGGCGCTGCAGTCCTGGGTGACCCTCAGCCTGCCCCTTCACCCGTGCCTCAGTTTTCCCGTCTCTAAGATGGAACAGCAGTAGCCTCCATCAGCCCAGCCCCGTGCTGGCTGAGCACGTGAACTGATGCGGATTAGTACTTAACCCTGCCCCTGTGTGTGTGTGCTTGGGGGGATGAGTGGCCCCATTGTACAGATGAGAAAGTGGAGGGTCGGAGAAGCCAGACAGCTTGCTCAAGGTTGCACAGTGCGGAGGACGCAGAACTCCCGGTCAGATCCAGGCCTTTAGGTACCAGCTGCGTGTCTGGCCCGGGCCTGGTCTTCCCGGGGTCACGGGGTTCTTGCCGGCTTGGCATTCTGCCTCGAGTCTCACCAGCTCCTCCTGGCTTTCTGTCCGCAGGCGAGAAGCCCTTCTGCTGCTCACTCTGCAGCCGCGCCTTCGCCGACCGCTCCAACCTGCGCGCCCACCTGCAGACACACTCGGAGGTCAAGAAGTACCAGTGCCAGGCCTGCGCGCGGACCTTCTCCCGCATGTCCCTGCTGCACAAGCACCAGGAGGCGGGCTGCGCGGGGGGCCCCCGCTGACCCCAGGGCCTCCCTCCGCCTCCTGCTCCCTGCCGCGGCCCCAGGAGCCCGCCTCCTCCCAGCTGCGGCCGCCCCACGGGGCTGCGGCGAAAACCGGTCTCTGGTTCCATCCTCTGTGTTCTGGGTGCTCCAGTGGGCACCTCCGTGGCCGGCCGATCCTGTGGCCGGCAGGCAGATGGGAGACCCTTCCCGGACCAGGCCTTCCTCTGTGGGTTTGCGTATCCAGAGGGGTTTGGATATAGCTGCTGAGAGCCGCAGGACAAAAGCGACAGACGGACAGGACCTCACGCCCCAGCCCCCCGCCACCCTCCACGAGGTGTGACTAACTATGCAGTAATCCGCCCCCAGCTGCATCTCCGGGTCCTGCGGGGGCGGGCGCCGACGCGAAGACGTGTCTAGACCCCAAGGTGCCCCCGGGCCCGGGCAGCTGTGTCAGCCTCCTGTTTGTCACCGCGGCACCTGTTTCCCGGGCAGGGCAGCAGTGCCTCCCAGGGCCTGCGCGGCGGCCCTCGGCCTGACCTGTGTGTCTCCCTGGACTATTTTGGGGGCCCAGCAGGTGGGCCTGGAGGAAGATGTTTACATTTTAAAGGTACACTGGTATTTATATCGCAAGCAACATTTTGTATTATGTTTTGTACAGTTTGTGTACAGTTTATTGATGTTCAATAAAGCAGTTAATTTATATATAACAGCGCATCTACTGGGTCTTACAAAGAGTGGGCATTTCAGAATGTCTCGGGAATGGGAGAGAAGCTCCTGGAGTCGGTTTCTGACAAAGCCATTTCAGTCTTGCCCTCCGAAGTGTCAGGTGGCACCGGGGGGACTTCCTGCCACTGCTCTGCCCCGGGCCTGGCCCGTCTGCAGGTTTGTGGACACTCGGCGGGGGGAGCGGTAGGGTCACTGCGAGCTCCCAGCGCTCTAAGCACTGCAGAGCTTTTAAAGTTATTTTATAAAAATTTCTTTATTCATTCTGAAAGAGAGATCTTCATCGCCTGGTTCTCTCCCCAAATGGCTGCAACAGCCAGGACTGGGCTAGGCCGAGGCCAGGAGCCAGGAGCTTCATCCAGGTCTCCCACCTGGGTGGCAGGGACCATCTGCTGCTGCCTTCCCAGCCCATGAGCAGAGAGCTGGATGGGAAGTGGAGCAGCCGGGACTCGAACCGGTGTCCATATGGGATGCTGGTGGTTGCAGGTGGAGGC